TGATGTGATTTTCTTACGGGAACCAAGAGTACGTGGCCTGAGTGACCAAATAAAAACATTAAAAAACACGTTGTTTATAGAGTTTTACAAAAAGAGGATATTCTACAAATCTAAAACAAAAAGAAAATCTTATAAAGTAATCAGACATTCTCATTCAAAAATGAACAAAGTAATTTCACAGAAAATCAGTAAGTTATGGTAAATGTCGATATTCTAACGAACACAAATATGGAGGAACTCTTATAAACTAAACAGAATGACAAACTATTATGCAGGAATAAACAAAATAACGGTATAAATTAATAGTAATACAGATAAATATGGAATTACTACAACTACTATCTGATTCACTATCACTTGGACAATACGCATCAGATAAGTATACATCCCCACATACCTCACTACTGCCACTCTCTTCATCCGATAGTAGTTCATTCCACAATTGTACAAATCTTTTTTGCTCAGCTTCGTAATGCGACATCACTAAATTTGATATTCAATAGTTTATAAACAGTATAGCAATTTGAACAAGATGACGTACAATACCAACAACGGGCGGAAGCCCCTACATGAAAAACACTGAATGCTTATGTGTGGGAAGTAACGAATTCATTATATGGCACTTTGATTGAAAAACATACATACAAATCCTACATACTGATGAAAATGGACTAACTTCAGTTTGACGGTTGGATTGCTCTAATTGTGTTTCCATGGTTGTCTGTGAAACGTCATCATTATAAGACTCCTAACAGTCGTTGACTTGATTTATCAACAGCTTCTGGTGACCAAAAATGTTTTAATTATTCGGATCCTATTGAAAAAACATCAAACTTTATTACACTTTTTTACTGTCGAAACTATTCTAAAGTTATTCTTCTTGTTTGTTACTAACAGTATTATGCCTGCTACCAGGTTCACAATTCAGTTCAAAACATCAAATGCCGAAATTTATGAAAAATTACAAAATGGAATTCATACAGAGTGTACTAAGCTCGCAGAATTCATAGTGGACACTGGAATTTAGTGATTTGCGTTACTAGGTTCCCAGGAAGAATTGAATATGAATGCACCCATTTCGGTTTTCCTGGTACATCGTATGGGCAAATCACCTTCGCTTTCATCATGATTTCGATGACACAATCAACTGTGAACATTTTGAAACAAGCCTGGCTAAAAAAAATCGACATTTGTAAAAATGCCAACAATTTAACTGGACCAGCGTCGATTTTTGTAAAAAAATTGATTGCTGTATATGTCAAACCATGGACTTTTGACTAAACAAAATTTTGCCAAGCAGTAGGTCATGAGAAAAAATTTAGCCACGAATATGTATAACAAAAAATAATTTCCTCATCCCCTGAGAGGAATTGCTGCAGCTGCACATGATCCTTGCGATGACTAATCCCGCGTAAATGACTATGTTGGTATTGCGCGAATCTCACAGTAGGGCGGAAGCAATTGCCGACTGTGACGTATGACCACCGACGACGACGCTTGTCCATCGGGGACGATGTCGCACATATCGACACCCGACGGTAAGAGGTATTTCTTAGTTTTAAGGGTAAACGATCAAGGACATCTATGATGAGAGAAATACAGTGGACCTCCGGTAATCCGACAAACATTATGCAGGGCAGTGTCGGACTATCGAATTTGTCGGATTATAGAGCACTGCCTAAGAGCCCCTATAGTCCGGATTTTTTTACAAATGAGTACCTTGTAATCCGACAAATTACATATCCAATGTTAAGATTATATATGTTATGTATATGTATGTACTTTGAAGTACATACAAATCATACATAGTTTATGTATGTCGAATTTAGTAAATTAAATGTAAATTATGAAGCTTGGAAATATTCATCAATTTTTTTTTGTTTATGGTTGTTATAACGCGAGATCAGAGCTTTGACCTTCAGTCTTCTCAAAAGTGAAAGTTCGTTGTAGGATGTACCATCCTGTTCAGCCCATTGTAAACCTAGCTCAAAGGCGTTCATTGCGTCTTGTGCTGTGCCTTGTGGAGCAGTTGCAGTCACGTCGTCGTTAATTTCCTGATTGTTTGTTGTATAATTAGAAACCTCTTTTATAATCTCTTCGTCAGACATTTCATGAAAAACATTTTTCTCTTTATCCATTCCATTGCACCAGAATTTCAAATCTTCCGGACTTATCTGTGTTTCAGTAGCGAGTTTTATAACTTCCGAAGTAACACTGATTTGTGGAACGTTGCTAGGAGTGGTGACTATATCTGGCCATAACTTATCCCAAGGCGATTTAATAGTTGACGACGGTAACGCATTCTACGACTGACAAAGAGCAAAAACCAAGTATTTCATATTAAATTCTTTTAAAGTTTTTTCTATTGGTTGGTCTTTTTATACGGCTCTCAGAAGTAGGTTTTTCTTATAGTCTTGCTTGACAAACTGAATGATATTCTGGTCCATTGGTTGAATCAGTGCAGTGCAATTTGGCGGAAAAAATATCACAGTGATGCATTTATCTTCAGTTGTTAGTTCGTCTTCAGACGGATGACCGGGAGCGTTATCAAGAAGCAACAACGCTTTTGGAGGAAAATTATGATCTTTTAACCATTTTCTAACTTCAGGTACGAAGCATTCATCAAACCACTTTTTGAAAAGTTCTTTTGTCATCCATGCACTTTTTTGTCCGTAATAGTGTACAAGTAAATCAATGTTTTTGAATGCCCGTGGTTTATTAGATTTCCCAATGACCATCATCTTAACGCGTGTGTGCCAGCAGCGTTAGCACATGGTAGTATGGTTACACGCTCTTTACTTACTTTTCATCCAGGTACGGATTTTTCGTTACAAGAAACGAAAGTTTTGTTCGGCATCACACGCCAAAAAAGCCCTGATTCGTCTGCATTGTATACCTGTGACGGGACAAGATTTAAATCGTTCACCTTTTGCAAAAAACTTAATTTAAAGGGCTGCAGGTGGCATCGTTTGAAAGTTTCTCTCCTGTAATAGTCATTAAACGTATGCCATAACGACTTTTAAAACGTTCTAGCCATCCTTTGACGGCCACAACATCATGTTTTTTGTTATTTCCTTATAAAAAAAACTTAGCTTTCATGGCCAACATGGGTCCTGAAATTGGTGCATGTATATTTCTGTCCTGAAGAAACCACATGTACAAAGCTTCTTCCACTTCTGGATGTTCAGCTTTCTTGAGTGTCTGTCTCTCTTCTTGATCTTCTCGTGGTTTCTTTTAATGTCATAAATTGTAGATCGGCCTACGCCGTATTCACTAGCTAAACTACTGATAGCTTCATTGCGATTTAAGCGGTCTAAAATATCACATTTTTCGTTAATTGTCAATGTTTTGTACTTTCGCATCTGAGTTTGTGATGACATTACTAGGTACTATAATTAATACACAATGGATAAATAGTAAACAATGAACGCACGCTAGGCCGTACCGCTATCACAAGTAGTCAAATTCAAACTAAGTAAAACAATGCTTACGCGTCGAGCACGATAGCGGTGGCGCGTACAAGTTGTAACCTGTTCAAACCTACGTGATCTACATTAGCGAAGATTGTCAAATACGTATGTATGTAATACATATTCAAAGACATGTCGGATTACAGGGGGCGTCGGATTAGTCAGGAGCCGGATTATCGGGGGTCCACTGTATGCCTAATATGTACGTAGGTTTACTGCGGCTGGGGTCGTATAAATTTACCAACGTCGAAATTTGAGTGTACTTCCCAAGTTATAGACGATTACAATACTTCCCCGCCAGTAGACGTGGGAAGTAAAACATGTCAGCATTTGGACTAAGAGTTATCACTGAATCTTTTTTGTGCTGTTGATCTTAATACCTAAGTTGGTTGGTTGCTGTCACGTCAGCTTAAAAGTCGCTTGATGATCAAACTTAGAGGCCTTTAGTTCAGCGTCCCCAAAAATCCTGAGATACCTCTATGGGATCCAATGATGAATATTGGCATGCGCTATTTACATTTACATGACTAAATTGAAAGTGCAGCCCTAGAGTATGATAATCCGCCACCATCAGCCATTTTCAAATGTGTACATAACATAGGACCTTGGAATGATGATATATGAAAAATAGTCCTGCATATCTAACTTTCAAATTCTTCATTTTAAGGATGGATTTTCATCTATGTCATTAAACAATTTGTCCTTTGAAATAGTGAGTGTAATGAGTACAGCAAATAGCTGAAAAGCTATTAAAATTTCTAACATTCTATTAGCACATAATGAACTGTGTACAAAAAAGGTTCTAATAAAATAATTGATTTTAGATACTATCCGTAAACATACAAGTGGTATACCATGTATGTATACTTAGCGGCAAATAAAAAAAATATAAAAAACTATTCTCTTCAAGGGCTAACGAATTGCTTTTGTTATGCAGTTTTTTGAGTCTATTTGTTGTGTATTAGCACGTAATCAGCCTTTGTGTTTCATAAAGAAATGAATTACTATACTTAACACTTAAATAACAATGAAAAATAAGTATTATGTATAACAGGTGCAGAATGATGTAGGATCATACGGCAGAATGGCAGAATCACCCTGCCATTATAAACCAATGAATTAGTTCGGGTCCAAGCAATGGGGTACTTTAATATAAAAAAATTGGATTTTCAATAGTAACTATTAGTTCTTTGGTAGAATCTATTATCTTATCACTTTGGCGTTATGTAATAATACTGCTTTCCAATCAACCATATATTCCTTTCTGCCATCAGTGTTATCTATGTAGGTGGGATAATGAACGAAGGCAAACCCTATTAGTAGTAGTATGTTAGACTGATTCAACGTTAAATTCTGGTTACCGGACAGACGTAGATACAGACAACGTGTCAATTTTCCAATGTCATACCATGTTTCTCGTTCCAAGTTCTTAGTATCCTACATAGATAAAGGATAGAAGTTAAACGTAACTTTATCTGGATTTGTAATTAAGTGTTATTTTCCATGTATATCTAGGTAGGAAACTTTGCCTGGAAAGTTATTTTCTATGGGATACATAATATTTGTTCACAATTAGCACGTATAGAGATTGCGCAATTTTTTTGCATCAATGTCTTAGAGAAATAGAAAATGATACTGTTGTCGAAAGTTTATTCAAGAGAACATGTCAGATAACCGCTTGTCTTATCGAGACTCCGATTTTTGATAATATCCTTGTAATATCTTGCAGATGCTTTCATCGTTCTCTGGCGTCTTGGATCTGAGAAGTCCACATGGTACAGGCCAAAGCGTGACCTAAGAAAATACGTTCTCGTTAAATAATTAGAACTGATATCATTGATTAACGTACTCTTCCAGAAGATATTCAACTTCATGATGTATTTGGATATTCACTCACAATTTCCGTCGTCACCGTCATATTGCCAAGTAGGATGGTAGTAATTCCCTTAGGAGTAATAAAAACACAGTATGTTTTCCTTTTAAAGGAAATTGTTTGTTCTTAAATATTACAACGCCTTCCAAAGAAAGATCACGCCTCAATCTTCCTTGTAATCATTCCTAAGATTCTGTATTATCAGAATTTCTTAACAACTGAAAAGCCCAATCATCTATGGCTACAGTCTAAGAGGCGGCCGGGCTGATGCCAGTACTTTGAAGACGGTGATCGAAACATGCAGGGTGAGTTTTTGAAGAGGGCATGGTATCTAAAGAAAGTTGAATACTTTGAAACTATTTGTATCTCTACGGGATGATTTGTAAAAACGTGGCGACTCAAACGTCTTTTTTAAAATGGAAAGCCCGACATGTTATTACAGATTTTGATAGGCCCTTCCAAACGAGGCAATTCGCTATAATATACCGTAAGGTCTACAGAAAGTTTACTCTCTTTTAAAAAATCAGTTAGAAAACAGCTATTAGAGATACAATCATCTCTCAATGTTTGAGTTGTTAATTTATTTTATTTTTATTTTTGGGATTTTGTTAAATGAATATTTTCTATTTGGTTGACTTCTAATGTTCATGTCGATATTTGCTTTCTGGCATGCTTGGCTAGCAAATGGTATAATCTCGTCATTGTTCTGTAATTGTTTATATTCTATGTATTATTTTCCTTGTATAAATTTTTGATGTTTTGTCCATATTATGGTTACGTGGAAGAGTAGCTATCAAGCTAAACTTCGCAATAATATGGAAGGTTGCCAATAAAGACACTTTATTATTATTATTATTATATCTATCTATACCTTCAATTTGTTGAAGTATTGGACAACCTGTCGTAAAAAACACTGAACTGAATTTTTCGTCAGAAAATCAAAGTTCCTCCCTACCTATTTCAGCTTTTTGGATGGGTTATTAATGTGATAAAAAACGCAAATGAACCTCTCAAAATTTCACATGGAATACTCTGTATATGTTCACATTTTTTGATTTGCCTTTTCACAAGCTTATTTCTGATATAAGGTTTGAACGATTTGCCTTAACTTTTCGACTTCATTTCATGAAGATTCAATTAACAATGAAAATGCCCCAAATCTAACGATCTTCCATTACCAACAAAATGCTAGTTTCTACGAGTATTTTGAAAGGCACTGTGATATTTTAATTTATCTTGATATCTGATTTATCAAGAGGTTAGTTATAACTCAAAAACCAGTCAAAAAGCCTCATAAAGCATTAGAAAAAAACTTGTTGAAAGAAAGAATATTACAATATACGGGGTATTCCGGTAAAAGTTTCGGAGGTACAAGTTGCTGAAGTTGACTGTTTTTTTTTTCGATAAATTGTAACTCTGATAAAAGTTTTTTTTATTTGTAAAGACCAACATAAATTAGGTCTTTCTATATAAAAAAATTGTGTTTGTGTCACCACGTAGTTATGAATCACCTTGTAGAGATTATATATTTTCTAAGTAAGTAGCATACTGTTGGCTACAATTTTTGTAATTAAATTTTAAAAATTCTACAGTTAATTTTTTATGGACTTGTATAGTTGTGAGCATAAGTGGTTTGGTACGCGCCACGGTACTTGCTCATTTTCGCGCTTTCAATTGGGCTGCATATCTTCTGATGGAACATATCAATCAATGATTATAGACTCTTGAACCGTTGTCATTCGCTTTTCAATTTTCATAAACTACCTGTGCAACTGACTGATAATGGGATCATTATGCTTGGTTTGACGTATGTAGAAATCATACTTTTCTTAATAAAAAAATTAAGTAAGCACTTTTTTAGACAATTTGAATCTTACTGATATCCATCTAGCCATTCGAAGCTGTCCATCAAGCTCCATACAGTATAGCCTGAAACATTCACGCCATACTCCCATATAGCCTCTAATATTGCGTTTAGATGTTGCTAAAAAACAAAAAGTAACGATAAAATTAACTAGGCTTATTTATAACACCGATGACCGGTATCACGTGGGAATACTCGGAATAGTTAAATCAATATGTTTAGCTCTTTTTGCAGTTGCAAACAGAATCCAGGAACCACCTTCAATTGCCATTACTTTAAATCATACTACTTTATCGAATGTACCAAAACACATAGCACAAGTGATTATAGTTCCCCCTTTTCCCACTTTACCCATTCATATACATCTATTACAAAAAATATGGCGTCAAGTAGGTTAACTCTACACTTTCCACGCAACGCTGTCATGTGTTCATCGAGGATTATGGATGGATGTTGGTCCTAAATAAAGATATGATCCTTGTATTATAGAGTTTTTCTTAGTTTATGGCTTGTGTGGTGATTGTGGTTAATTTTTCTGTCGCTATTAATACATTTATGATAGTAGGCTATAGCATGTAAGAGACAAAGCTGTTTGAGTCATATACGTGTATATCTTTGTATAAGATATCAGTTGGATAAAATTCTGGTTTGCTAAACATTGTTTTTGAAATCATTCTTTGAAAAATATCAAAATCACGGTACACGAGCATGTCAATATACCGTAGCTTAAATGTTGCTCGATCAAGGTATAGTATAAGGTATAAGGATATTTTTATCTTAAAATGTTCTTAATGCATTTAATTTTATACGAGACATATCTAACTGTTTTTAAAGTATATGAAATATGAACATCCCAACGCAATTATGTTTCCACGAATATTCCAAGGTATTTTATATCTGATAATCTGTTTATTTCTATTTTCTGAATATTTACGTTAAATGAATTTTTTTGTGTAATCTGGTAGATGAGATGAGATCAATCTTTATAAAGAACTGCTGTGTGTCATCTGCGAAACTTACTATTTTGCACACACAGTCAATTTGAAATATATCATTTAAATATATATTAAAAAGCAGTGGACCTAAAATGGTTCCCTGTGGAACGCCACATTTGGTAAACATCTCGTTACTGAGAAATTTAGATACTTTAACGAATTGCTGCCCTACCCATAGTACCATCCATCTGGCAACACTAGACGTCTCTCCCCAGTATCTGAAAGCATGATGCATCACACGCGGCAGAGTGCCCACTGCACACCAGTGATGCAGGATATATACATATATATATATATATATATATATATATATATATATATATACTGACACGCCGGCCGCGGCCGTTGAGATCATCAGACGTAGGGACACGTCAAAAACATGTTTCTATCGTTGTAAGGGCAAATGTACGGGAATCTATGATGTGTGAAATATGTCTAATAGAGTGTAAGTGTATTCATAAAATCAAGCAAATTTCCAAAAATGATCAGGATCCTCTGACTTTTTGGCGATTATAAATCTTCCACGCCAGTTAGCGCGGGAGGTAAAATGTTTACCTGCATGTAGCTAATCCTCAGGTCGTCGTCTAATTCTCCACCATCACTAATTCCATTTTCAGTTATAATAATTTCAGGGTTGTCATAGGTATCTTTGAGATATTTCAGAAGTCTTTTGAAGCCCCATGGTGTTACCTAGAAAAAATGTGCATATAAAGTCGTAATGACTATTTTAAACATAGATAAGTTGGTAGGTTGAGCTCTAGCCCAAATGTTATAATACTGATGTTACAGCAGTATCTGAACACCATCTGACAAATGAAAATCTAGAATACATTAATTTTGCACATCACTAACTTATTTCACATTTAAAATTAATTCTGAACTGAACTTAAAAACCTTTGAATCGATATCTGTATATAATCTGGAGACATAATTATAACGGGATTTTGAAATTATATCTTCAACATCCTGGATCTTAGTAAGACAAACACATCGATCGAAACGTCGTGATCTCAAAATTGTATAGACCTTAGAAGCTCGAAATAAAGCTTTTAAAACATCGACATTGTCTGAAAATTTCACATAACGGAAGTTGGCTATGTTTATATAACCAATTGGTATTATTTTCGACTTCTGCAGTAGAAAAATTGCTATTATTTTTCAAATCATCCTAATAAAATAAGACAATAGAGGGAAACTTTGTGGAAAAGTTTGCACTCGAGGTTTAACGATTTTTTTAACAATATTAAATTTCCCTCCAAGAAAGTCATAAACATACTTGCAGATGTACAGACTGCTTTTCACTGAGACTATTATAAAAACGACGTCAACAGTCGCTCAAGTTTCTCGTGAAAATGCAAAAATGGAATCCAGCGAACTTTTCAGTACAAGATCTTTTTGGGCAACGCTAAAGGGAAACAGTAGAAGCATTTTGGAGAATATGTCGTTTCAGTGATCGGTCTGATCGCGGAAGATCACAAGACAGTCTTCTAGACAGATCAGCTACGTAATCTAAGCCTAGCCCTCACCTTAAGCCAAACGGATTTAGCTTCTTCCCAGTACCACGGTTGATAAGATGAAACTCCAGCGTCTCTCGCAGAATACATTTCAGGTTGAGGTGTCACAGATGGATACACCAGAAAACTGGTGTAGAAGTTCACTGCCAAGAAGTCACATGTTCCTTTAATCTGATTGATTTCTTCGGTACTGAATTCAGGCAGACGGGACCTGTCTTTTCCTTCTTTTCTACTGTTATGAGCCACTTTGGCTTTAACGATTTCCGGCCAGTCTCCTCTGTAGAGCGGATTGACATAAATCCCAGCCTGAAAGGAAATTGACCAAGCGCTGCGTTATAGTTGTTGATCTAGCTGACGCTGTGATTTTTCAAATATGTGTCAGTTGTTTTGAGAATCTGTGCCATTCAGGCATTGATTTTCATAAAAGATGATGAAGTTCTAAAATCAATTATGGTTTTTGCATATATACTCGTATATATATATATATACAGCTGAAAGGAAATTGACCAAGCGCTGCGTTATAGTTGTTGATCTAGCTGACGCTGTGATTTTTCAAATATGTGTCAGTTGTTTTGAGAATCTGTGCCATTCAGGCATTGATTTTCATAAAAGATGATGAAGTTCTAAAATCAATTATGGTTTTTGCATATATACTCGTATATATATATATACAGCTGAAAAAACCTATTTAAAAATTTCTAATGTTTGATGATGATTCAAAAATAAAAGACTTTTCAAATCTGGAATGTGACATTTGCTTATTTTAAAAAAACATCAAGTCCAAAAAAATAACAATACTGACTTCAGTGAAAGCTAGTAAAGCGAGGCTTTTTTAAAAATGAAAGGCGATTAAACTTAGAATCTTTTCAAAATGGATTTTCCGGACTCATCAATCTGTCTTCGCCCAGTCCAATAGACGACTTCAATTTTGGCTTGTTGATTTCTATGAACCTTCTGAAACGTACCATAAATTCTAAGTTGGATATGGCCGCTTCTTCAAACGCTGGAACATCTGGTAGTAGCGGCTCATGCCATGAGAATTCTACAACCATTGATATCCTCCCTGAAAAGCAAAGTATTAGCAAGCTCTACGAGATCAAAATTAGATAAACTATCTAATTGGAATATTTTGCAGTTTCTTGAACTTACCTTTTTGATGTGGTCTAAATTCATTATTGTATATATGCCATGCTTCAGCGTGAGCTTTCAAAAGGTTGTATGCGCATAAGTAATCTAGTTCACCACTTTTGTTTAAAGCTGGAGCAAAAACCCCCAAACCGTACCTGCAAATAAATTAATTGTACATAAGACTTGTCCCTTAGGATTTGCGAAATATCACTTTGCTTTGAAAATACAGGCCGCTAAGGACACCACTGGAAATCGATTTTTCATAAATAACTTAACACCATATAATCCAGTGAAATTTTGACATCATGCTAATTAGCGAAGACCTCACATGATTGGGTCCATAGGAAACACTTCGCCAGAGATGAACTAGCCCCATTGCAATATTGATAGTTTCTTGTAATATACTAAGTGACATATAAATCCGAACACCCAGTTTAAATGGTTTTATTTTAATAAAATTTTGTATAAGTACTTAATGAAGCATAATAAGTAAATGATAAAAATTTCAAAATGATTGCACTGCTTTAAAGCCCTTTGACCTTTAATAATGTGTGGATGCACCCTGATGTGCTACGCATTCTCCAACGCGCCTAGACATGCTTCTGATCAGGTGGTCAATGTCCTCCTGTGGTATCTCATTCCAGGCAACCACCAGCTCCTCTCGAAGTGCTTCTAGAGTCTGAGGAGGACGTTGCAAATTGAGCAATCTCCTACCCATCATATCCCACATGTGCTCAATTGGGGATAAGTCGGGAGATCTTGGTGGCCATAGTAACAATGTGACATAATTATGTTGAAAGAAGTCTATTTTGACTCTTGCAACATGTGGTCGGGCATTATCTTGTTGGAAAGTTGGATCTGCCAGGGTGTCAAGATAGGGTAAAAGATGGGGTTCTAGAACTTCGTGGATATAACGCTGCGCGTTCATGTTACCTCTGATGAAGATTAAAGGTGACCTGGAACATACGCTATAGCACCCCAAACTATAACTCTAACAGTGTGATGAACATGTCTTTCAACAAAAAACTGTGGATCCCTCCTTTCACCACGTCGCCTTCTAACCCTGGCACGACCATCGTGCATGCCTAAACAAAATCGAGACTCGTCACTAAAGACAATACTGTTCCATTCCTGATCCCAGAGTGACCGTTGACTGCACCACTCAAGGCGATTACGTCGGTGTTCTCGAGTTAAAGGGAGGACCCAGTGTGGCCGGTATGAAAACAAGCCAAAACTTCTCATTCGTCGTTAAACACTTCGCATGTCAATAGGTCTTCCGTGTTCTGCAACCATTCATTTGCAATGGACCTGGTAGTGGAGAAACGGTCCCTTAAGGCCAATAATCTTAGGCGGCGATCTTCACGGTGTGTTGTTCTACGGCGGCCTCCAGTGCCCCTTGCTCTTTGCGTACGGCCTTCTCGAAGCCATGCCTGACAACACCTAACCACAGTGTCTACACTTCTTTGCACTCTAACTGCAATTGCCCGAAAAGAAAGTCCAGCTTCCCGAAGTCCCACTATACGGCCCCTATCAAACTCACTAAGTTGACGAAATCGTACAGGTCTCCGTACTCTAGGCATCGTACCCGATCGTAAAGGATGTCAAGAACCAAAATCCGCCAACGTTGATTTTTTACTGCGGCTGAAATATTCATTTTTAGAGCGTTAGTGAATTAAAAAAAAGCAGTATAAAAACCGGAATGTCCAACTGATAAGGCTGAAAATTTTTTCACTTGTTATTTACAGTAAGATAAATACATTCACCAACTTTTATTAAAATAAAACCATTTAAACTGGGTGTTCGGATTTATATGTCACTTAGTATAATTTAGCAAGCATCATGTTATTTGGAAAAATGAATTAGTGTTTGATTTAGAGAAAACGAACCATATTTGAGAAAAATTATTCCAGAACTGTTTATCGATTATATTACTGATTTCAACATACTGGCTGCCCCATTTTGAATTTACAGTATATACAAGATATACATTTTCAAATCACTTCATCTAGCTTTAAGCTTATTGCAAATTGATATTGGTAGTATTGGAGCAAGGCTGGTTTTCTCAATAGCAGTTGAACGGTTATTAGTAAACAATTTCTAGTAGGTTTCTTGTCTGTTGCCTACCAATTAAAAAAAATATATTTTTTGAATGAAGTTTTTATCAAAGACAATGATTTTATGTTATCAATATACATGATTTACGTGTAACAGTTTTATGCGTTTTCAAGGTATATTCCACGTATCATTGTACAGTGCAAAACTTGTAGTCAGCTGCATCCAAAATTGACATATTTTTTAAATTTATGTCATCACCCGGTTTCGCGCTCCAACAACATAATTCACCAAATAAGAAACTTCTGGATAGCTTAACTTTGTCATATTTTAAGATATTCAAAAAACTAATAACTAACTAATACTATTTTTTTAATTGTGTTTAAAGAAATTAGAAACTCTCTTATTGTAAATTCAAAACAAAGCAGTATTTCGAAGAGAGCCAAAAGACCAAAGTCTTCGTATAGTGCAATGGGCCGTCCTTTGAATTATTACCCCATGTTTTGGAAACATCTTGTGAGTTGTACAATTTTTGAGTCGCAAAAAAGCGTCTAATCACTTGTCAATTGTATTTTTTCATTTAGCAAAGCACGAATTAAATCATATTAAAAATTCAAGCTGTAGTCTGCAAGTTCAATTTTTCGGTATTTTTATGATTTCTAAAATATAAAGTAATAATGAAAGTACCAGGTTGCCATAACCGTACTTAACACGCTATGAATAATCTATAAAAAGGTGTCTACTTTAGTGTCGGACTCGAAAAAGTTTCGACAACACTTTTCATTCATTTGACGTTAAATACATTTTTGGATGCCTTGAAATGAAGTATGGACTGTAGCTCCTAGAGTCTACGGTAATACATAGATTAGATTAGTCCTGAATGCGTATCAATATATGTGAGGAATCCCTTAAATTCGATTATAGTTGAATCTGACGACAAGAGACGTTGGAAATAATACTGAATTTAAAATTACCCAAATAAACAAATCTGCTTTGGCTCATTGAATGTAATCCATGTTTTGACGTCCTTTCCAAAGAGCTTAAAACATAAGCGAGCATAGTCGGTAAACCATTTCACGAGCTTTTCGCTAGCGAATCCGCCTTGCTCTTGCAAAACTTGAGGCAAGTCCCAGTGGTATAACGTTACCATCGGTTCAATCTTGTTCTTCTTCAAAAGCTTGATCAGGTTTCTATAGTATTGAACTCCATTTTGATTAACGTGATTTGCAGTCCCTGTTTTCAAACATTGTTATATACTGAGTGACAAAAAAGGTAAACATCAATGTATGTTTATTAAAATTCAAGAATTTTTTACATATCGAGTTATCTTGACATGAACAACAAGTCATAAAATGGTCAGATTTTTCTGTTAAGTTTTTGTGGTGGCTGCGTGTATTGTTTGGTGATGAAGAAGCATTCAGTTTTCGTACATTTTCGGTGTCAGTTAAATGTTAAATTTCGTGTAGCTTATTGAGAAGCCGTTTTGTGATTGGTCAAAATGCCTAGAGTGCGTGGAATTTGCCGGGTGTCCCAGTGATTTTGAGAGTGGTCGAATTGTCAGGTACGTGAAGCCGGTCTATCGATAAGAGAAGTTGCTAGGAGGACCAACAGATCCTAACACAGTATACTGCAGTGTGAACGAGGGTAGACTCAGGAAACGAGAGGTTCTGGACGTAACAGAGGGATCGCAGAGCGACAAGGCCGTAGGTTAAGACTTCTGGCTCTCAGTGGCAGAATCAGTAGTACTCGAGCCATCGCTAAGCAGTGGTTTGAAGAGCATGAAAGGATGGTTGGTATGTGTACAGTATATATGGCCTTTTTTCTTATCGCCCACATTGGGTGCTACCTCTCACAGCTGAACATCGGCGTAACCGTTTGCTCTGGTGTAGAGAAAGAATTCTATGGGACCGGATATCATCCTTCAATCTCGTTTAAAAGATTAGTTTTATTACAAATATCATTGTTAGTAGACCATGTTTTTTTAGGATCGGGTGCATTTTTGTTTAATCTCTATACATTGGTGCTATAAATTTGTTTTTCTTAACTCGTTGTAAGAATCTATATTTTTTTTGGTTGGTAGTTCATTTGCTTATACAGGGTGTCCGCAAAGTTGGGGTTTTCCTTTTCAGAAACAACTACCCTTGAAATAACAAAGTTAATGTGTAGTGAAACGAGGGCGACCAAGTAAAAAAAAAATAAAGGAAAAAGTACTCACTCTCCAGTTGACGAGAAGGGCTAAGTACGTCTCTGCCCGAAATCATACCGCTCCAACAGAAAATGAAATCAGCTGATGCGCTACCGAGCAGACGCAGGCAAACAAGGAAGGCAAAATGTTTCGTAAAAAGTCTAGGTATTGCATCCCGTCCAATCGATTTGGGAGAATAAATGGTCCAATGAGCATACCGTTCACCATGCCAGCCCAAACATTCACCGAACATGTTTGTTGAAAATGTGCCCGACGGACAGCGTGCGGATTTTCTACTGACCAAACATGAGTGTTGCGAAAGTTATTCACCCCATTACGCGTGAACGTAGATTCGTCTGTCACCAATATGCACTTCAAAAGGTCCGGATTACTGTCATGTTGATGCAACAACCACTCACAAAACCGCACTCTTGCTGGAAAATCGTCAGGTTGAAGGGCTTGTACACGTTGGACGTGAAACACACGCAGCGTTTGCCACAATTAGTTTTTGATACTTGCACTTCTCTAGCCACGTCTCTAGTGATTGTTGAGGGATTCACGTCTACGCGATTATCTCTACACGCGTGACCGTAACCGTCGGTTGAAGATTGCATACTGACCTGACACACTGGCCCCGACCCAGTTCTGTCGTCGGGTTGAGCTAGTGTCCTAGTACCACTGGGGGACGTCGCGGCTACAGGACGGTATTCAGATATTTTTGATGTTGCAGAGCCCTTTATCTCGGTTCCCTTAAGACATTGGTGTATATGGTACTAAGAAAAATTGCTTATGTTTTCAAGATCTACACGTCGTGTAAAGGAAAACCCCAACTTTGCGGACACTCTGTATAACCTACCCTTTTCACACGAAGATATAGTAGATACGGTCTACTCGCCTTTGAACAAACTAGTAATATAGCTTTCGTCTGTCCGACCACAGACGGATAACCATCGACAGCTGTTTCATGCTATTTAGCAACTCTTCAGCATGGTGTAAGCTTGGTCTTGCTGGACAACGAACGAAATCTGAACATGCAGTTCCAACAGAAGGCTTGCTGCTTTCACTTTTGCAGTGGTCGAATCTGGTAACAGATGACACTTTGTGCTGTCTCATTTCGATAGACCTTAGGCTCTGAATAGAGCATAGTTGCTCAACTATCATTCGTTGTCAGTTGTCACAGGAAGTTAGCAAATTCAATATGGTTGAATATGTTGTGAAGCTGTCCTACCAACGTTCGCAGGGATGCTTCTTTTTGGTTGTTTGCCACTCAGCAGTTCCAAAATTTATGGTCTAGATTTATAATATTATTCGTAAAATGGAGCTCTTTAAACTAGTTAGTATTATTATTTGCACCTAGGAATTCACTACAATTATTTTTTGATATGTCATGGATATGACTGAATTTAAAATATTTGATTAAAAAGTTTTCGTGATACTACAACAAATCCAAAGAGCCAATTTGCATAAGTACCGACAATCAAATACTTTATTTTTTGAACGACCATTTAGATAATTTAACTGAATCTTAGCGAAATATCGTAATTCTCCAGATGGATTGTAATTTGTTTAAAAAAGGCTCTACGGAGAAAAACAAAAATATTTTTCATTTTTTCACAAAACAAACATCAATTATTAACAATGGCTAACAGGTTACATTAGGAATCTTACCATTTGGAAGTATTCTAGGCCATGATATTGAAAACCTGTAATGGTCTACTCCAAGATTCTTTAGCATTTCAACATCTTCCTCATATTTATGATATGAATCACATGCGACATCTGCATTGCTTCCATCTGCTATCACCTTCGGGTTGCTATGAATGTAGTGTTCCCAAATGCTTTCAGATTTGTGATCTTCAGTCCAAGCACCTTGAAATAGGAGTGGTTTTCAATTTTATACGGCGTTCGGTGCAAAAATTAGCTATATAGATTCTTTGCTCGACATTTCTTCATCATGTATTAAAGCAATTACGTGCAATTTGTTAGAAAAGGCCTCACCTACCTTCTATCTGATATGCTGATGTGCCTACGCCAAATTTAAAGTCACTGGGGAATTTTCTTGGTATACATTCTATTCCTGTAACACTTTATTGCGCAACACAAGATATTTGTTTTAAAATATTAATCTTAACTTTGTGCAAACAATAAAATCCGTATTACTCAAAACATAAAAAGGTACTTTGTTAATTACAATTATTTTATCTAATAATTAATATTAGATTACGTTGTTGTACAAAAATACCAAATTTCTATTTTGCTCGTTAAATGCTCGAAATCACATACTGTCTCCCCGGAATATATTACTGTGGATCGCGCCAGCCAATGCCAAACTCAAAAAAATTCAAATATGTGTTCCAAATTATTTTTTTAGATTTTTAGTATCAATCTCAATACTCAATCATTCTGTACTTACGGTATGTAACATATTTTAACGAGACTGATTTGTGTTAATGTACGTATGTAACATTTTTTTTTAATATAAACATATCTGATATTCCAAAATGATCTCAAAGTATACTCGATACCCCCTAAAAGTTACCCCTGAGTGATTTAATCCTTTTACTCATTTTGCCCACCAAAAGTTGCAAATTTTATAGCAATCCAGCCTATTTCCAGATTTATGGCCACTTTTCCGCATTTCTAGCCCACTGTGGTCTGCTTTAAAAAATAGAATGCTCAATAAATAGATTTTTATGTCGTTCATAACAACCGAAGAAGATATTTTTCATACTTACAATAGCAGAAATAAAATGTGAGCCATCCATCTCTTAACCATTTTTACTCATTATATAGAACCGTATATTTAACTGAGAGTTATATACACTTAGTCTAATGTTATCTGCTTTTGCACTCTAAAGTGTTGATGGTATTCGATCTGTAAATAAAATGATAATCTCAGATATCTACATCAAATTATAGACTTTACGCTGTCTTATTTCGATAAATCAATAAAGTTTTTTGCCAAATGCTACCCGTTGCTTATAAGGATCAATGATTTTCGATTAGGAACTGATACTAGCTAAAAATTCATTGATGAAGTGATTCGTCATACGTAAGCAACATTCATATAAATTTGCCGCTACTCGTGCCGCTTCTCCCAGTCTTTCCAGAAGGTTCACGCACCATGTTTATGGGAAAATTGATCCCGGTGGATTTGCTACAAATTTTGAGGTTGTGTGTTTTATTGCAATCCAAAGGGTTAGAATATAGGTTATTTACGTCTTATGTAGCGAGACCGAAAAATCCACCATTTTGTCGTAGGTATGTATTCTAGGGTTATAAAGTACTCGTCAGGAGCTTCAAAATGATGTGCCACAAGACCCCCGTCTTCATATAATTTTTTTTCCAGGATGGCGTCTAGCGGCTATCTTGACATTTTCATCTTTTTTTTTTTTTTTTTTGTATACTCCAACTACCACGAAGGCCTAAGGCCTAAGCACCCATTGGGTACCGTGGGGCTATAGGGGGATGCGGGATGCATGGGAAAGGGGGGACGCCACACGGACTCTGGCGAGGGAACACGTGTGCCTGCAACATGCACACATTCTGGCACCGCCTACGAGAACCGCCGGGTGGTACCTCCGCGTTCGACAGTCAGAGACAATCTACCACCTACGGACAATCACAACATCCATAGCCAAGAGAAAAATTTCTCCTGGGACGGGACTCAAACCCGCACAGCGCACGGCGACTGATCAGGAGACCGAAGAGTCTAACATACTACTGCGGCCACCGCTGCTGCGTCAATTATACTCTAAAATATGGTATCCATGCATCAATTTCATTACCTCGAGTTTTAATTTTTTGAATTGATCCGTTCAAAAAATCAAAAGGGAGGAGGACATTAAAGAAAAGCACTGTATATGTTAGAAGTATTGCACCTGAAAAAAATCTATATTCTTGGGCCCAACGTTTTAAGGGCGCGTTATGTGACGAAATGCATAAGAAGCTATTACTAAAAGTATACTAAGTGACATATAAATCCGAACACCCAGTTTTAATGGTTTTATTTTAATAAAAGTTGGTGAATGTATTTATCTTACTGTAAATAACAAGTGAAAAAATTTTCAGCCTTATCAGTTGGACATTCCGGTTTTTATACTGCTTTTTTTTAATTCACTAACGCCCTAAAAATGAATATTTCAGCCGCAGTAAAGAATCAACGTTGGCGGATTTTGGTTCTTGACGTCCTTTACGATCGGTTACGATGCCTAGAGTACGGAGACCTGTACGATTTCGTCAACTTAGTGAGTTTGATAGGGGACGTATAGTGGGACTTCGGGAAGCTGGACTTTCTTTTCGGGCAATTCCAGTTAGAGTGCAAAGAAGTGTAGACACTGTGGTTAGGTGTTGTCAGGCATGGCTTCGAGAAGGCCGTACGCAAAGAGCAAGGGGCACTGGACGCCGCCGTAGAACAACAGACCGTGAAGATCGCCGCCTAAGATTATTGGCCTTAAGGGACCGTTTCTTCTCTACCAGGTCCATTGCAAATGAATGGTTTGCAGAACACGGAAGACCTATTGGCATGCGAAGTGTTTACCGACGAATGAGAAGTTTTGGCTTGTTTTCATACCGGCCACACGGGGCCTCCCTTAAAACACTCGAGAACACCGACGTAATCGCCTTGAGTAGTGCAGACAACGGTCACTCTGGGATCAGGAATGGAACAGTATTGTCTTTAGTGACGAGTCTCGATTTTGTTTAGGCATGCACGATGGTCGTGCCAGGGTTAGAAGGCGACGTGGTGAAAGGAGGAGTCCACAGTTTTTTGTTGAAAGACATGTTCATCACACTGTTGGAGTTATGGTTTTGGGTGCTATAGCTTATGGTTCCAGGTCACCTTTATTCTTCATCAGAGGTAACATGAACGCGCAGCGTTATATCCACGAAGTTCTAGAACCCCATCTTTTACCCTATCTTGACACCCTGGCAGATCCAACTTTCCAACAAGATAATGCCCAACCACATATTGCAAGAGTCACAATAGACTTCTTTCAACATAATGATGTCACATTGTTACCAAGGCCACCAAGATCTCCCGACTTATCCCCAATTGAGCACGTGTGGGATATGATGGGTAGGAGATTGCTCAATTTGCAACGTCCTCCTCAGGCTCTAGAAGCACTTCGAGAGGAGTTGGTGGTTGCCTGGAATGAGATACCACAGGAGGACATTGACCACCTGATCAGAAGCATGCCTAGGCGCGTTGGAGAATGCGTAGCACATCAGGGTGCATCCACACATTATTAAAGGTCAAAGGGCTTTAAAGCAGTGCAATCATTTTGAAATTTTTATCATTTACTTATTATGCTTCATTAAGTACTTATACAAAATTTTATTAAAATAAAACCATTTAAACTGGGTGTTCGGATTTATATGTCACTTAGTATATTTTAATAAACATAGTATTTACCAAATTCTGAGATATCGAATGAAATGTATCTAAATATAAGTTACAAATACAATTTTAAAAAAGTATCTTAGATACAAGATGAAAATACATAATTTGTAACTTGTGTCTTAAGTAAGTCACATTCCGGACTACAAGCAATAATACCTAATTCTTCGACCGATTGGAAAAGTGGGCCGTTTTCCGGAATTTGTCAATGTGTGTGGATTTATAGGTATGGTAACGTGAAGTCTTATAGAAATAAAACAAGGTGTGCCTGTTTATAGTTTATTCAAGAAAACATGTCGGATAATCACTTGTTTTATCGAGACTTCGGGTCTTAATAACGTCTCTATAATACCTTGCAGATTTTTTCATCGTCCTCGGACGTTTTGGATCTGCGAAGTCCACATGGTACAATCCAAAGCGATTCCTGAAAAAATGTATTACTTTGAAACTGTGTGTGTCCTTTCGTTGCAAAAAATTAAATAACATGAATAATAACAAGTGAATTATGTTTAAACAAAAATCAAAATATAAATATGGTTAGCAAGGGTTTGTATGTAAGTGTAGATATGGGACAGCCAGCTAAAATAAATCTCTCATGGAATGGCAGATGGAAATTTTCGTAAGGTATAACACCACCATAAACTGAACTATAGTCCATTCAAACCTGATTTACTCCGCGTCAAAGCACGCTGTTTTTAAGTTACGCGCACTCTTGTGAAATCTTTAAAAGAAATCTAAGATCATGCGCTGAACCATCGCTTATTCAATAATGAAAAGCAACTCCGTTGTTCTCTTATCTTTATCATTTATCTTGATGTATAGTCTCCTTAAACAAATAGTGTCCAAGTTATCAAAAGATTGCATACCCGGTATAATTAATCATGTTGGTTTCACTGAATGATTCAATTTTATAGAACTGTGTGGTTTTTCGAATGAATTAGGGAAGAACTGGCGACATTTTAATTTAAAGTCAATGAAAAATCTTCCTCCACTTCTGTTCTCTCGTATGGTATGTCGTACGGAGTGATCCAACCATCATCTTTCCATTAAAAACCTAAAATATTAGATCAAACATAATGTCATTTAAATTACAAAAAAATATTTTGAATTTGCGCAGTTGCCATCTTCCCAGTGAATCTCCAGAAAAGCTACACAGTAATGACAACTTGCATTTTGATATCGAGTGAGTTGATAGTCTGCTTGATCTGATATTTTGGGCTATCGATGAAGAAATAATGCCTAGATCGCTTCGGATATTCCATAAGAAAGATCTGAAGCGGGGAAAGTTTTTCCAATAATTTTGAATTACACTGTTGTAAAAGTTTTCAATTAAATCTTTTCGAAAAGCCATGAAGCACTGGAATATCGAGCCATTTAGTGAACCAACATGTTTTTAAGGTGTACGCGATATTTCGAAAACTTTATAGGGGACCTCTATACATTAAGATAAATGACAAAAGTAAGAGAACATAGGAGCCTCTTCGTTATTGAACAAGGGATTGTTTATCGCATGATTTTAGCTTTTTCCTAGGATTTCAAAAATTGGTTCGACTTTGCACTAAAGTAGCATATGTGGTTCAATATGTTCCAAACAGGGTGTATTATTACCCCTCAAAAGGTTGGAAGCGACCTTCGGAATACCCTGCATAATTCAGTAATATACAGGGTTATCCAAATTAAGTGTCCACCATTGGTAACTTTGTTATTAGTAAAAATACAAAGTTGTTTAAATTAGCAAACTAGTAGCATTTTTAACGCTGGTAAAAATGAGAAATAAAAAAAAACAATTGAGAGTCGTTATTTTGATTTTTTTCAGTAAAATAACATTTTTTTAAATGGAAACCCCTGTATATTATATTTTTTTCTGTTAAAGCATCAAATTTTAAACAAAAAAGTTCATAATGACTTTTCCGCTAAAGTCAAAAATAAAGTCAAAATAACGATAAATATTTTTAATTATTTGCAGTATTATAATATTAAGACGGCTATGAAAACAACATGGCGTTCGCGATTTGACAGCATTAAGATAAGCGACAAATTGTTAAACTGGACATACTCGCAACTAGAAGGCTTTGGAAAACAATGATAAAATCAAATAATGTCAAACATTAGTGTAAATACTTGTTTATAAGCTTTATTGTGTCATTAATTTAAAGAAAAATGTTCTCCCATGAAGAAAAGTGTGATATGTTAGAATGCTATTTAGTGTGCAGAAAATCCTCCTTGAGAGCAAGAGAATACTACAGTGAATTATATCCCGCTCACATTCAACCGTATGAACGATATTTTCTGAGACTTTATCGAAAATTTAGGGGCAACGAAAATGTTTTTGGGCAAAAAAAGAATTCATAATAAGCGAGGCCACGGAAATTGCAGTTATTGGATATTTTGAAGCTTATCGTGAGAATTCAATAGCAGATATTCTCAAGGACTCTAATTTCAGTTATGGTACTGTTCAAAGGATTTTAAAAAAATACAAATTTATTCCGTATAAGTACCGACCAGTTCAAACGCTTTTGGCAGGGGATCCAGAGAGAAGACTTCTTTTTTGCCATTGGTATCTTAGCTTCTGTCGCCAAAATGTAAATAACTTTCGTTACCTTTTATGGACAGATGAATCAAATTTTTCCAATTCTGGAATGTTTAATAGAAAAAACCACCATTATTGGTCAAGAGAAAATCTTTTGTTAGTACATCCAAGAGGCCCACAAGTCCGTTTCAGTTTCAACGTTTGGTGCGGTATAATTGGTTCAAAAATTGTTGGCCCGTTCTTTTATGAGGGAACCCTAACTGGTGAAAGATATGTGGAATTTATGTCAGAAATTCTGACTAATTTCTTAGACGAATTGGATCTTATAAGTAGACATCATCTGCATTTTCAGCAAGATGGCGCACCTGCCCACAACTCCAGAGGTACTTATCATTTTCTAAGTACTACTTTTAATGATCAGTGGATAGGAACAAATGGCCCAATACAGTGGCCTCCCAGATCACCAGATCTAAACCCACTTGATTACTTCTTGTGGGGTTACTTAAAGAACCAAATTTACAAGCGAAGGTATGATAACCTTGACGCGTTAAAGACTGCAGTTAGGGAAAAGATAACCCAGATAGATGGTAGGACCATACTTAAGACAGTTCGAGCAGTTGAAAAACGTGCCCAAAAATGTATTGAAGAACAAGGTGGTGTTTTCGAGCATCTTCTTTAAAAAAAATTGTTATTGTATTTTGTAAGATTATAAGTTGATGTTGAAAATAAAGTTTGTCGATACAATTTAATAATTGTTTCAGATTGGAGGTCATAACTTCAACAATTTGTAACCTAGGAGAAAAGTTATTGTAAGCTTTTTTGTTTAAAATTTGATGCTTTAACAGAAAAAAATATAATATACAGGGGTTTCCATTTAAAAAAATGTTATTTTACTGAAAAAAATCAAAATAACGACTCTCAATTGTTTTTTTTTATTTCTCATTTTTACCAGCGTTAAAAATGCTACTAGTTTGCTAATTCAAACAACTTTGTATTTTCACTAATAACAAAGTTACTAATGGTGGACACTTAATTTGGATAACCCTGTATAGTGCCATAGGTTTGGGCTTACTCAATGGCAACCGGGATAGCTGATCCCAGCCTATCGCGTAGAGGGGTCCCCAAACATTGCTCCTGGGCCCTAAGTTTGTATCATGAGAATCACGTTTCTTACACCTCTCTCTTACCGTCAATTGTGAATAGCGACAAAAGTAGTACCGCGATCGTCTTTCTGGCCACAGTCTTCTGCAGTTGTAGGCTTGTACCCAAGGGCGCCCTCAGGAATTTTTCTCAGGGGCCCAATTAGACATCAGCAAGAGGAAGTTTTTTTGATATTATGATTATGTATCAGCCCCGAAAAAATGTAATAAATCAAATTTCTTGCACTTTTTGCAAACTATATTCATAATAGGGATATCTGATTTTGATTAAAACAAGTAGTACCTAGTTGAAACAAAAAGATACTGAAAATTTAAGCACCTATTACTATTCCGAAAACTGTTGCAAGTGGCATTAAAAAAAAGTGAACCTGGAAATATTTCTAGGTCAAAAATAAGGAAAGTTCCTATAAACATGAATCCTTAAATGCCTCCTTTCAGAGATACAGGCCGTTGCAGTTATTACTTCAAAATACAGAAAAGTTATCTCTATGGTCATTTTTTACGAACATAATAACCAGTGAATGTAAAAATATGTGTGCTTACTACAGTAGTAGTACCCCCAATTCAAAGATCAACGATTCTGTAATTTTTGAAAGAAGTTTCTCCACTGTTGCAGAATGAGATGCATCATTGATTTGTAGAACGTTATTTTCTTGTTTTATTATTTTGAGGTGTCAGTCAAAACAGACTGAACCACTGAAATTAGTAGCTTTTGGAAAATAATTTGTAGCCTACCCATATCCAAAGTTCCACTCGAAGACATCCATGAAGCTCCATACACTGTAGCCCGAAACGTTCACTCCAAAATCCTCTCTCGCCTCCAATATTGCGCTCAGATGCCTCTGAAAAAAAACCTATACGTATAACCACAGACTATCAGATACACTGCGTATACGCTACTACCAAAATGAAAGGGAGTAGAGTGACACATCGTACGTCACTGGTTTCGGCGCTCTCGCTGTCTAACGTGGAATCTGCGCACATCAATCACTGGACAGTCACACTTTACGCGCAATAGCAAATCGAGAACTATTCGTCGCCCAGTGCTGCCAGATCAAAAATGCTGAAAGCGTTAGCCGTAGCGCTTAAAAGTATGGTAAACTTAAAATACGGCCTCCAAAGTACATCAATTTGCTTCTGCGGTATAATTATACCCGAAGACTCAAAATGGTAGATCGACCGTAAAACCAGTAGGTCTGTCAACAGTGTTCGAACCGATTTTGGCTTGTTCTCTGCAAAGGAATAATGGAACGTACCCGCTTTGAGTTAATCTAAAAATATATGTCTACAAAGCAGTTGCCGAATAATCTTGCGAATGAACCTAATAATATAGCGCTCAAACTCCAAATACGTACTTGAGTTTAAATGTATTCACCGTGCTACAATTTACTACATTCATAGATCGAAGTCAAGTTCACCAGAGGAGCTTACGGACAAGACAAAATGGGCAACTAGTGCTAATTTTAGATACCTTTGTGGGTACTACTAATTCTTATTTACATAAAATGTATTTACCTCTATGTAACTAATCCTTTTAACGTCATCTAACTGTCCATCATCATTGAAGCCGTTCTCAATTATAATAATTTCGGGGTTGTCATAGGCGTCTTTGAGATATTTCAGGAGCTTTTTGAAACCCCATGGTGTCACCTATAATCAAGACATTAAAAACCACGAATTTAAATAGTTGTATACTAAAGAAAAATTCAAGATATTAACAATACTCGATGTAAGAGAGGTTTTTTATTATTTTGTCATTATTATTTAATACGGGTGAAATTTACCACAATCATAGGTGGTTGTTGAAATCTGTATGCCATCAGTGCCTTTCTTACCATTCTAAGTATCAAGTGAACCTTTTACAGGGTGTCTCACATGTAGGAAAGTGTCTAAAGTATCGTCTATGCTTACAAACGAAGGAATCGACTGTGAGGCCACAGTCTCTCTCACGTCAAAAAAAAGGTGTTTGCATGCCCCATGAGGCAAAGAGGTGATTCTTTGGACGGTTCTTAGAATATCTTGTGTGTAGATAATTTTCGAAAATAATAATAATAAAAATATAAGTAAATTATCTAAGTCTACATACACAGCTTAAAATGACTACCTCCAACTTGTGTAAAGTAACAACTTCAGTATAGAAAAGGGGATTTAAGTCATCTAAAGATGCTCTACTGGAGCTATTCAACAAACTGTGTTACAAACTCTTTAGGGATTTATGCAGTCTGTAACATAGAGACCGGAACCTTGTATGCGCTGCTGGAGGTATCTAGTCATTTTTAATAATCTTTTGTAGATGACTAAGTTTCGCATGTGATCTGAGCTATCTGAAAAAAATAATATGTGCAGAATGGAAGATTCATTATTCTACTGGGAAACCGGTCAGATGATGTTCTAGAGAAGAATAACCAGGATATTCTTTGAACATATTTAAAGACTACGATAAAAAAAGATACGTATCATTATTTGGACCAGAAAATTTAATCGAGTCTCTATACTGCAGCTTGGCTATCTTTGTCCAGCACTCACCTTTATAAAAGACGTTTTGCCCTGTTCCCAATACCACGGCTGATATGTATCAACTCCCAGGTCACGCATGAATCCTGCAGGTTGTGGTGTTGCAGCTGGATACACTAAAGCACTAACGTAGTAGTTCAGTCCCAAAAAGTCGTTTGTTCCTTTAATCCGTTCGATTTCCTCAGGACTCAATTCTGGTAGGCGAGATTGTTGTCTTCCTTCTTTCTTGCTGTTGTAGGACACTTTGGCTTTTACGATTTCTGGCCAGTCCCCTTTGTATAGCGGGTGACCATACATTCCAGACTGCAAGTGAATTCTGATGGATGAAGAATACACAGCAATAAAGACAAACATGGGGCAAAAATTCAAGGGGTAAGTCCTTGAGCTATTTTATCCTTTGACGATTTTCGAAGTGCCTCTTCGCTTTAGAAAGACGCCATTGGAAGCCCACATGGTGTCCAGGGAAAATAATCAACACATTCACTAGGGATGGACTAGTACTAATACAATATTGCTAGTTCTTTTATTCTCTACACAGGGTGTCCCGAAAAAAGTGTGCAATATTCTACCAGCGGTTTCTAGAGCTTAAAATAGGAAGAAAAGTTTATACAAACATAGGTCGACAAACGTCCCCTAACGGCGCTACGGTCTTTTAAAGGGGCTCCCCTGGAGATGGTTTTTCTCTAATATTTCCGAAACGTGTTGAGATAAATAAATTTGTATATTTTAGCCCCAAAATTTTTGTGTGATTCTATTTTTGAAATTCAATTTTAGAATTTGAAAATTTAGGGTTTTCTACATTTTTGAATAAAATCAAACTGAAAAATTTGCCACATGATAGGAAATGTACTGCGAATTTGAATGAATTGTTGATTATCCATAGTTAGCCATGACTGCAAACAAAAGTTGTTTTGATTTGTTATGACTTATTTTGACGTTAAACTGACATTGTTAGCAGTGTAAAATTACTAGATTAAAATCAAAATTTTTATTAAATCGTTTTAAATGCCAAGATTTACAGACAGAGAACTGACTGACATGCATTTTGTGTACGGGTTTTGCAATGGCAGTTCATTGGCAGCCGTAAGAGAATATCAAAGATTTCCCAATCGCATAGTACCTGGACGTCGAATGTTTTCTGATATTCACCGGAATTTGTCAAACAATAGAAGTTTTCAGCGCATGCAGGGCTCAGGAAGGCCACCGGGAAATCATCGTATGGATATTGCTTTAAATATGTTTGAAAATAATCCGCAAATAAGCATACGAAATGTTTCAGAAATTGTGGATATACCTCGATCAATAGTAAGAAAAATTTATGAATATCTATTTGATAGTTATCCTAAAAATAATAATTTTATATAGGAAGAATGACAAGAATGCAAGGATTACATCCTTATCATTTTAAACGGGTGCAGCATTTAACGGAGGCAGATTTTTTACCACGAATCGAGTTTTGCCAATGGATATTAGCAAATGAGAACACTATTCCTAGAATATTATAGTCGGATGAGTCAATATTTACTAGGAATGGTGCTTTTAATTTCAATAACATGCATCACTGGTCAGATGAAGATCCAAAAGTTGTTCGCCGTACAAATTTCCAACAGATTTTCATCGAACTTATGGGCGGGAGAAATAGGGGATCAAGAAATTGGGCCTATTGTACTTCCCAAACGTCTTAATTCAGAGGTGTATATCTGAACTTTCTTCAGAATGAGCTCGTGGATATAATACCATTGGATGTGCGCTAGCAGTTTCTAGAAAATATGTTTTTTCAAGATGATGGCGCCCCTGCACATTTTGGACGCAATGTTCGAAATTGGTTGAATGTCAATTTTCCAGACTGGTGCTTAGGCCGAGGAGGTCCTATAGCGTGGCCGCCACGATCACCTGACCTAAATCCATTGGATTTCTATTTTTGGGGCTCATTAAAAGATCTAGTGTACTCGACTGAAGTAAATACTCAAGAAGATTTACTTCAAAGAATCCATCAGCCTGCAAATGAAATAAGAAGAAAAAGGTTTTCTACTTTTCGGGCTACGCAATCATTAGTTCATCAAGCGAGACTCTGTATCCAACAAAATGGGAATTTATTTGAACACTTATTGTAAAGCTAATTTTTAGTATATCCAACTGCATGTCTTCTTTTTTAAATAAATTTCAATTTCGTTCGTGGACAAAATTTATTTCTTTTGTTTTTGAATAAATGTTGCAATAGAAATATGTATTTATGTAATATTAACCAATTATTAAATTAGTTTTTTCGTTGCCATGGCTAATTATTCAACAATTCATTTAAATTCGCAGTACATTTCCTATCATGTGACAAATTTTCTAGTTTGATTTTATTCAAAAATGGCATAATTTATCGATATTCAATAAGAGTACCTTTTTTATGTAGAAAACCCTAAATTTTCAAATTCTAAAATTGAATTTCAAAAATAGAATCACACAAAAATTTTGGGGCTCAAATAACCTGAGTCCGTCCCTGTTACATACACTTCCAAACTAAACTGTCTAAAATTGTTAATATTTTTAAATCCAGCATAAAAAACTAGGCTAGAATACCAAATTTTATGTCTTTATCTCAACACGTTTCGGAAATATTTTAAGGAAAAACCATCTTCAGGGGAGCCCCTTTAAAAGACCGTAGCGCCCTTAGGGGACGTTTGTCGACCTATGTTTATATAAACTTTTCTTCCTATTTTAAGCTCTAGAAACCGCTGGTAGAATATTGCACACTTTTTGGTATGTTTTTTTTATGAAAAAGTAGCTACATGATGTCTAAACAAGCTCGCGAAAACCGGATCTCGCCTAAAACTTAGGCCAAAGGAAGTTTTATACGGGAATCCCTTCAACTTTTATTTTTTTAAACTAATTTTTGTGGAATTATTTTTTATTCATTAGAATAAAATCACCCTTTTTGAAAATATTACAAAACATCGCTAAAAGGAGAGTAACTAATGCTGATAACAAAAGGCATATTTTTTGTTTAAATGCATATTCACTATGTATATATACAAAAGAGACAAATACTTAATCAAAACATAAATAATCTTCAATAGTTGTCAATGATTTCGTATTTTGCTATTGATAAATTTATGATGATACCTGCACATCTGAATACGTTTGATCAGTGGGATGAAGGTTGATTGAACATTGTCTAAAGACTTTAGCATAATTTTTTTAGAAATATCTAAACTATATGTATGGATTGAACATGCTGCCCCCCATGCTAATATTCCATAAGCTAGTTGTGGTTCAATCAGTATTATGTACAAAGGCACTTTTCTGTCAAAATGCTTGTTAGATATTTAATTTTATATGACACTAATCAAACTTTTCTTTAAATATGAGAAATAATCCGAGATAATTTATGTTTGGTGCCCTATTTATTTTGGAGTTTCTGATTCTTTACGGTAAAAGACATATCCGTATAATTTGGTAAATATCTAGCGTAAGATACAAACTGTGAAAAATGAATGTTTTTGAATAACTTTTGCTTAACTTTTCAATTATGCTTTTCATATGACAACAATCATCACCTTTATGTCATATTGCAGGATAATCTGTAATATTATTTTGCCGACACAATCGATTTGAAAGATATCGTTCAAATATATATTAAACAGTGGTGACACCACATTTCAAAGACATTTCCTTACGTGATTTTGATATCCGAACGGGTTGTTGGCGATTGGATAGTTTTTTTCGATTCTCTAGTACATGTTCCCCTAAATCCAACCCTCTCAAATGTATTTTATAATAATTTATGGTTTATTGTTTTCCATCGATACTATAAACTAGTTACTATGATGTCAACATTTCGTTAGATACAGTATGTTTCTGAAGTCATTCAATGAAAAACCGATTTCCAGTGGCGTCCTTCGGGGTCCTGTATCCCAGAAACGAAGCGCTATTTCCAAAATCACTATATCACGAAATAGTCCTTTTGTCCCATGTTATGAAAATACCGTGTACGTATATGTGATACTTCAATCTGCTACAACTAGAGTTACTTATCGCCCGCAAAACTACTAGACACTTTAGTCGCTACGCGTCAAAACAGAGGAGTTTCTAACTATCAGAAACTGTTAAATACAGTTAACTAATGATATCTCCTGGGCGGTCAGAAACTCATTTTTGGAATGGGCCTTATGTTAGCATCTCCAGGAAGATCAATACTGACTATCACCGACTGAAACTAGTTTTTTTCCCTGGAGATGCTAACAAAGCGAAATATGTGTAGGTTATTGAAAAAACTGGTTTGCTGTATAGTATCTGCATCAAGCACTTTGCCAAAGAAATCACACCGCAGGAATCATGAAATACAAAACATTTTTCACAGCTTTATCGACGTGATTTCGCTAATGTTCATGATTTTGGTCTTATCATTTGTTTCCTGCGGAATTCATATCCTTCCTCTGTTATCAACATACCTCAAATTCCATGTTTGTGTTAGCCGCTTCTTCGAACGCTGGCACATTTGGCAATAATGGTTCATACCATTTATAGCTTATAACAATTGCTATCCGTCCTGGAAACGAAGATATTAGGAAATCCAACAAAATAAATAATGACTTCAGAAGCAATTCTGTCATCAATTAGATTATGTTTAGTTTACTTTCATATGAGCCGCGATTCAAACAAATACGACCAAACTTAGAATAGATTTCTAAAAGGAACATAATTTCCTCATCTTTTTCATTTCTGTTCATACAATGTGGCGTAATATGTTGTAGGAAAGTGGAACAAATTAGTTCCTCTTAGAAAATGAAGTTATGAGGAGTTACGTTACAGCTACGCACATGTATAACGGACAAAGAATGGATTAAGTCTATTCACAAGGCTTAAATTGAATCGGATCTAGACTAGAATCCATTCAAACTTCACTTACTCCTCATCAAAGCAAACATGACTTCTCCATTGTAGTTTCGATTCTCTTGTCGTATATAGCCCGCTGGGCAATATAAACACACGAATTGGATCATCATGCCCTTGTGTTTGTTTTGACAAAGAGCAAATGAGATTTGAATACAGAATAGGTATTTCCATTTATGCGAATTTTCTTGCCGAATTAATTTTTGCTTCCACCTCCTAGAAAAATATATCATATATCTGCTTCTATAGCAAGTGGCTGGATATATGTGACTATTGTATCTAACAGGTGCTTAACATTACGGCGATCAGAAATAGAACATCTTTCGCTGATACCAAAAATGCATCACTAACATCCCCGGTGGACCTTTGCTCTTAGTTAAAAGTCTTGTCGGTCTGTTAGTTTGTCAGGCCTGTCTATCCAGATACCAAACATCTTTAAGGGGCTTTTTTCGTTTCTTACCTGTAAAACCTCCAAGGATAAGTGGATAGAGAAGCAGACACACATACGGAAATAAGTAACATTGTCTTTCGCTATGCAACATAAGAAAAATGTAATGTAACTCCTGAAACTTATCCTGTGGTTTTCATGTTCATAGGACTCCATCGTTTGGCTGAATCAAACCATATAAAGGTTAAATTTCTATGACCTTTTTCAACTACAATTGACAATTTTGTGACAGTATATTTTATATATGCCTTCCAGGTGTCATTTCGTCTCTTTTTTCTCTTCACATTTTTATACAGCATGTTATTACGATAGCGTTGAGCGGCCCTGTAACATGCTGAGATTATACGAATTTTACTTAAAAAAGGCCACATTTATTGTTGAAACGTCGTACAATAAACACAAATTTAAACATATATGTGGTTTAATTCGGCTAGACAATCGAGTCTCAAAAACGTAATATTTCGTTTTCGAAATTTTCCGCGCGGTACTCCCTGGCCGAACGGCGTGGCAAGTAATTGTGTAGATTTTATGCCAAAATTGTATACTTTACCTTTTTGGTGCGCTCTAAATTCGTTATTGTAAACGTGCCAAGCTTCTGCGTGAGCCTTCAAAAGGTAGTATGCACATAGGTAATCTAATTCACCGCTTTTATTCATAGCTGGAGGGAAATAGTCCATACCATACCTACACGGCAAGATAAATAAACTGTTATAAGTGCACTGCTTTGAAAAAACGCCACCTCCACTTATTTTTGAACGAAGCATACTTTGACAGTTGAGAGTTTCAAGATGGCAGCTGTGTTGTGCATTTTTGTACATTGGATCTCTCATAACTCAAAAAGTAAACATCAAAACGCTGTAATATGTCATATCAGTCTTCTTCTTTTGAAAGGGGCTAACTGAATATCCAATGAAACAAGTACATTATTTGCAAACAATACTAACAACCCGACTGCAGTAACTGAAAATAATAAATCTAAGAACACCTGAAATCCATTGAGCCGTATAGCTATAGCCTATTAAATAGGTATTTTGAACAAACCCGTATTATAGCTTTCGTTCGTCAGGTTGAGGTTAGCGCCATTTTGATTTCATGAAAGTAAAATGTACCCAGTGCCACTGGCACTGTCAAGAAAAACCTAGAGATATCTCATATATCACAATCCATCAATCCATTTAAGCTATAGCCCATCAAATAAGAATTTGATGATTGATTTTTTTAGTAAAATCCGCCATTTTCTTGTAAAATGTTTCTGGAATTTTAGTATACATAGTGACACTTGCTGTGTGAAGACAAGTGTAGAAACATCTCATATCTAATCCATCAAATCATGTGTAAATAGGAATTTCAAGACTGATATTTTTATTAAAATCCGAATTTTCAGTTTCGTGGAATTTTAATACACCAGTATCACTTAAACTGCTAAGACGAATTCAAAAACACTCATATGCCAAAATATATCAAGCTGTTTGACAATGTACAAAAACGTTTAACATTAGCGACCTGCCACCATTTTCAAAGAGAGTGGTTTTATATTTTAAGGCTATAAACTAAAATCCCCTCATTTATTTGAGCAAAATATTCCAAGATGGCACCCTACCCGTCATAATTGAACTTTGTGACGGTTACTTTCATACCAAAATACGTTTAGTATTTACACTCTACATTGACTCGACCGCAGCAGCGGTGGCCGCAGTAGTAGACTCTTCGGTCACTTGATCAGTCGCCGTGCGCTGTGCGGGTTCGAATCCCGTCCCAGTAGAATTTTGTTTCTTGGCTATGGATGTTGTGATTGTCCGGAGGTGGTAGATGGTGTCTGACTGTCGAACGCGGAGGTACCACCCTGCGGATCTCGTAGGCGGGGCCAGAATGTGTGCATGTTGCATGCACACGTGTTCCCTCGCCACAGTCCGTGTGGCGTTCCCCCTGTATCCCCTATAGCCCCACGGTACCCCATGGGTGTTTAGGCATTCGTGGTAGTTGGAGTATAAAAAAAGCCTTCCTCCAAAAAATTAGTAGAGGGACCTATTTGTAATGTCAATAGTAACACCAGCCTTCCATATTCTCTAGATCACATTTGCTTTTAAGCTAAAAACTTTCCATGTGTTTCGAATGTTTGGAAATGTTTACGATGGCATACCGTACGAAAATTCTCAAAGTAAAAATAAAATTATACGCAAATTACCCCAAATAGCAGAACTGTTTTGGCTCATTGAATGTAATCCAGGTTTTGACGTCATCTCCAAAAAGCTCAAAACATAGACGAGCATAGTCAGTAAACCATTTCACAATCTTTTCGGTAGCGAATCCACCTTGCTCTTGCAAAACTTGGGGCAAATCCCAGTGGAACAACGTTACCATGGGTTCAATGTTGTTCTTTTTCAAAAGCTTGACCAGATTACTGTAATATTGCACTCCTTTTTGATTCACGTAGTCTGGCGTTCCTGCAATAAAACATAAAGTTTAATAAAGCCTGATGTATGCATGATACGTCCAGGACCCATCAGCAACTTGAAGAGTCATGTCTACCACGTTGCTTATCGAATCAAAGTAATCCACATGTTGCACAAAGTGGTGTGATGCGGTGGTAGCAGCCAGGTGGTAAGCGGAATCATCACATTGCTATGGAAGGGAGTTGGTGAACGAAACATTGGGGCAAATAAGGCAATCCCGTCCTATGTTTTATGCTCCTCTTTTAAATTTCCAAGTTCGCCGTGTAATTGAGTATATCACATTATGTGATCGCCATCAATATAGATAGCACCAGCTTGCGCGACGCCTCTATGTATATACAAACTAGGCTTGTGCTGATGCGTAGCCAACAAGTGGCTTAGAATTACGGATCTAAATATTTCTTAGACGAATACCACACGATTAGTATTTACTATCATCCATCAGTATTTCCCATGGAATATGATATTTATTGACCTTGCAACCATATCGTCAGAAAATTTTTAATGTATAATGCTACGTTTAAATCTAGTGATTTACGGTACATTTCAAACCTGGAAAAAAGAACACCAGACGTCTTTCTGATAAGGCTATATTATATAACAAAGTTACAAACATAATTTTTCAATGCAGTACGATACTACCGACAAAGCTTGGAAAAGTTGTACCAAAACCGTTTTATTTTTACTTTAAATTAAATGTCGTCATTTTGAATCCAGTATGGTGGATATTACAAAACGGTGATTTATCATCTCCATATGATATGAGCATCAAATGACAGCACTTGATGAAAAAACATTAAACATTGTGGCCTTTTTAATTCTAAATGAAATATGGCGGCATTCGCAGTACAGCGATTTATCATTTCCACAGTAACATCTATAACTTGACTAAGATCCTTAGATAAATCTTGAAGAAATCCTCACATCATTTCTAGTGTCACACTGAAAATTATTTCCCGCATACATGAGACTGATCCGTGGGATGTTTTATCTTTTCAAAAAGAATGAAAGAAAAAGGGATAAGAGAGGAGAACGAAACGAAAGAGAGGAAGTGTGGTCAACTTTAAAAGAAAGCTCAGATTCAAAAGTTTCAGTAATATTGACTAGACCGGTCAAACCATTTCTCACCATTTGGAAGTATCCTAGTCCATGCTATTGAAAATCGGTAGTAGTCTACTCCCAGATTCTTCAGCATTTCAACATCTTCCTCATATTTGTGATACGAATCACAGGCTATATCTGCATTTTCTTCATCGTTTATCATTTTAGGATTGTTGTGAATGTACTGATCCCAAATACTTTCTGATTTGCCATCCTCATTCCAAGCGCCTTAAAACAGAATTACGAGTATACTCAAACAGTTTCTATCCGCGACTTCGTACGCGTGAAGTTGTTACTAGCGTTATTGTCTTTATGAATTTCTATAACTTATAACTTGTTATTGGGGATATATATATATATATATATATATATATCTATATATAACTTGAAACGTGGTCATTGTCGTCTAGGCCAGTGAAAAATAAAGCTTCCGACATTAGTTGGGTACTTCAACAAAATTCAAACTATGAGGACTCTTTATACTTTATTTGCCTCTAGCTTTCAATGGACGTTGCCATGTTCATCAGGAGCTGCAATAACATTGAGAAGAAATAGCAACTATTGTTCAAAAATGATTTTAAATTAACTTACAATAGTATGTGAGATTGTTGCTAAATGTTATTAACGTTTAAGTTGAGGGACACATTTAGTAGCCTGGTGAAAGCTGGATATATGGTACATTCGTAAAAATTAATATAAAATACACACAGCTGTATGTGACAAATTAAAACGGATTAAAAATATTTAGAACGAAAGATATATATATATATATACTACATAGGTAGTAGGTCACAGCTACTGTACATTGTCGAAAAAACTATTTTTGCAACATTTTTTTCATTAAATAATAAAAATACTCTTTGAGTCCTACTTGATATTTCTATTCAAAAATTTTTTTTATCTGGTCCACGGAATGTGATTTATCATGTGCGTTACCTCCCACGTGGGACCCTAGGGTTATGGAATGACTGATTAAAATCTATCACAATACTAATTATGATTGATTTTTGTACGTGATATTTTAAGGAATACCTACCTTCTATTTGATATGAAGACGAGCCTACCCCAAATTTAAAATCACTCGGGAATTTTCTTGAAACACTTTTTATTCCTGTAACACTTAATAAAACATTATTTTAATACTCAATAACGTCTTTCTGACGATAAAATAAGATATATCCTCAGATATTTCAGGGTGAACATAAAATTAATTTTGTTGTAGTAACAATACCTTGGCCTTGATTGAAATGTAAAGAGCCTGTTACCTACAGCATGCTTCTTTCTTGGAAAATATTTAAATCACTACAGGGTGATTCATAACCACATAGTGACCCAAACATACATTTTTTATATATAAATTCCCACATTTTATTGTAGATTTAGATGAGCCCTTTTAAACAAATGAATTTGATAAATATACTACAGGGTTTTGTTTTTAACTTGTTGAGATACTGGACATCCTATCGAAAAAACCCAATTTTAGCACCTCCTCAACCGTTGCAGCTAGACTACTGAATTTTCTGTTAGATAAATTTCATGATACCATATTTTCACCCTAGTCACTTACTTTTTCATCTATGTTCATAGTTTATACAAGGTGGTCAAGAACGCAAAATGAACGATTTTCAAATGGACTATCTTAACATCTTAGATTCCTCTTTTCACAAGATTTTTTTTGGATACGGCTTGTGAGGTTTGTATGACTGATTTTGAGTTACAGCTAGCCCTTTTGTAAGTCAGAATAGGGATGTATCGTAATCGCAAATTTGGGTATCGAAGTAAAATGTATTAGGCATATTTGAAAATTGATCAAACGGCGGCGAATGGAAAAAAATAAAAGAGTGAACATTTCTTGAGAGTGGTGGCGTCGCTAAATTCGTTGCCACTAGATATATGTTTTTTTTTAGGTTAGGTCAAGAAACGATAAGCTTTTCAAACATATCAATAAAGTGTTTTTTGTGATATTGTCTGTTCTTACAAAAAAGTAGCTATGTGGCTACATTTGGCATTTGATCATCGCACAATACTTGAAAAGCTACTCTAATGCCTAGAGGTTAGCGAGTTTGATATGGGGCGAATAGCGAGCTTGTGTGAATCTAGTTGGTTCTTTAGCCACCAGCGTGCACAGAAGTCTAAATGCAGCTTTTGTCAGCCATGAAATCAGAAAGGCCGCACATAATAGCTTAGAGGTACATGTCGTACATTTTTTAACTCAGATCGCTTCTTAGCTTGTATACAGAAAATTCCCCATTCAAATATTACCTTCCAGAAAGTCCACCCCATCTACAACTATATCAGGTATTTCACTTACATGGCAAATAGGATGTATAATGTTGCTTTTCCAACCATTTGTTCTTGCACAAAATCTTACACCTTACTGGAAGCATGTATCTGTTGATCCAATTTGATCTATTTTTTGCACTTGTAAATAAACGGTAGTATCTGTATCAAACGATACAGGTTTATATAGGCTTTTCTCACTTGCCCTCATAAAAAACTGTGAAATTGACTATTAACTAACCTTGCAGGTAGTCATTATTGTTAGATTAGGATTTAAAAAATTGTTAACACTGTTAATTGCTTGCATTTATTTCGATGCCGGAAATCTAGGTGTTGTAGATTCTACACCAAAATAGTGGCTCGAGATTATGAAAATTATGCAAAAACGTATATGTAAAACTACATGGTGTCACGCTAAAAAAAGAAAGTTTTATAAAAAAACTGTAGGGTGTGATATAAAAAAAGTTTTTCGTGTAATGTTTTAGGAAAGCACATCCAACTAAAGTTAGTTATAACCTAGATACATAATTTTAGTGAAAGTTCTTATCGCTCTATTGATTCCAAATATATGTGGTTCGCATTACTAATTTTCATTAGTTTTGTCAAAAACTTTAAGTTTCTGTGTGTCTTTATTCATGGTCGTATCAGATTTGAAACCAGCTTGCATCTTGCTTTATATACAATATGGAATAATGCCGGATCCATATGATTGAATGACACATACAATTTATGTTTTTTACTAAAGGAATACTAAGCGGCTCTTTCCAATAATTAATTTCTAATAGTCTGAACGATAGATCAGATCAGTTCATCTTGTAGCTAAGCAACGCATCATTAATTTGTTTGATAGTCATAAACGGCTTGTTGGAAATAGCCAGATAAGTATAACAAACCATATATAGTTGGAGTCAGAAGAAAATCAACCATTATTTTCACTAAAAATATACAAGGTGTGAGTCAAGAAAGACATTTTATGAAATGTTTGTATTAGGGGGGGGGGGTATCAATGTATAGACAACAAATCGACTTGACTGTCTTCGGTCCCTAGAAGCTGTCTTTCACCTCGTCACCTTATCACCCTTGCACGGCCATCACGCATCTCCAAACAGAAACTGGATTAATCACAAAAGACAATGGTATTCCATTCAAAGTCCCTCTTCAGCCGTTCTCTGTACCGAGCCAGTCGATCAGTCGATCATTTAGGTGCCTACAAGTGAGAGGCAGGACAAATTGAGAATGATACGAAATGTGTCCAAAGCTGGCTTTCCATGCTCTCTAAACCATTGGTTCTTGTGGACGAGAAGCGGTCCGTAGAGCCAAAGGCCTAAGAAGTGCTCCTGGCTTGGAGCCGTTCTTCTGACATGGCCCGTTATAATAGATTTATCTATATCGAACTGTTGCGCCCCTAGTAACACAATTCAGGATGATTAACTTTATTATTTCTAACAATGTATGTTGATAGGTACTGCAAGGTACCTCGGTCATTCCTCTGCCTAGCGCAGCATTTCCGGTGAATTATATTACTTGTAATACCTAACAAGTTTCTAATAACAATACATATATTATACAGTACGATCTTACCATACTACACTGTACCTCTTACTCTTCATGTGCGGTCTTGTTGATTTCATCCCGGACAACAAACCGCCACCGTATTTAGACACCCTGGTGGCTATTTCTCTAAAGGACTAACTAGCCTCACGCAAGGCCACTATTCCCCACCATGAAACTCGCTCGGCTGATAAAAATTTTCTCGTCTCCTCACTTTTGTTATATTGAACTGATTAAAGCAGCTCTCCGAAATGTTCAAATGCCAATTGTAGCTTCAAAACACAACTATCGCTTATTTACTTTTTTGTAAGAATAGACGATATCTTAAAAACCACTTAACCCAGGGCTGTCCAACATACGGCCAACTCCTTTCTTGCGGCCCGCTTCACGGGTCATGTATACATCACATGTATAAATTACTCTCAAATACCGAATATGCACAATTCTTACATTAACGACAAAATACAATAACATGAGACGCCACTGGCGACCGATTGCAGGCCGCAGTGAATTTACTGGAAATTGGACCGATCTCTCGATTAAATCTGACTCTGATAACAAGTGCAGTATTGCCGCCTCTTACAAAATAGCGCTGGAAATTGCCAAAGCAAAAAAACCTTTTAGTGATGAAGTGCTTATCAAAAAGTGTGCAATAGAAATGGCGGAACAATTCAATGAATTAAAAGTTGCCGAAAAATTTGAAACAGTCTCAGTATCGCATCAAACAATTGCAAGATGGGTGGACCATATCAATGAACATGTATCCAAAAAATTGCGTGACGTGGTTGAAAAATATAAATATTTTTCCCTATGCCTGGATGATAAGCACTGATCTGTCTGACATTAGCCAGCTTGTAATTTTTATCTGAACTATTCAAGACGACTTCAGTGTAGCAGAAGAGATACTTGACCTTATTCCTCTCCATGGTACAACCAAGGGTACAGATATTTTTGAAGCTGTGAATAAGTTGGTGTCAGACTACGGGGGATTTGATAAATGTTCCTGTATTGTCACTGATGGCGCCAGAGCTATCGCAGGGACTGAAATTGGATTTGCAGGACTATTGAAACAAAACAGCATCAGCTGTCCTATGATACATTGTATTGTTCACCAAGAGAGCTTATGTGGAAAATCAAATAAATGTCATGAAAGTGGCTGTTAAAATAACTAATATTGTTAGAGGGGCAATCGCGCTTTGACTCACAGAAAGTTTTGATTTTTTGGCCGAAGTGGATGCTGCATATGGCGACTTGTTACTTCACACCGATGTTCGTTGGTTTAGCGCCGGAAAGTGTTTGCAAAGTTTTTTCGCTCTACGCAAGGAAATTTCCTTAAAAATGACCGACACTACGGAACTGGAAAATCAAATGGCAGATGCACAATTTTTAGCAGACCTTGCATTTTTAACAGACATGACATCTCACCTTAACGAATTGAATTTGAAGCTACAAGGAAAACAGCATAATATTGCCAAATTATTTAGACACATAAATGGGTTTAAGAATAAAATTAAGCTTTTCAAGTCTTCATTACATAAAAATGATTTTTCATTTTTTCCAAGTTGTAAAGAACATTTCGAAGAAATGAAGGATTTTGAGGAAGTTTCATATTTACCTCATATAAAATACATTGACACAATTTCAGAAGAATTCAAAAATCGATTTAGTGACTTTAAAAAAATCGAAAGCGACATTTCAGTTTTTACTCAGCCACTAACAATTTCTGTTGAGAACGTAAGCAGAGCAGACCTTCAACTTGAATTGTGTGATTTGCAATCAGATCCTTTTTACCAAGGAAGAACTGAAACTGGCTTGGACTTTTTTAAGTTACTGCCAGGAGAACGATACCCCAACTTGCGAAACTTAGGGCTTACAATGGGATCAATGATGGGAAGCACGTATCTTTGCGAAAGCAGCTTTTCCAACATGAAATTTATCAAGTCAAAGTATAGATGTTCCCTCTCTGATAAGTCACTTACTCAGTTACTTCGTTTATCAACAACAAATATTAATGTTAATATTGATGCATTAATATTAGAAAACCAACATCCTCAAATGTCCCACTGATTTTTATATAATTTCATATTTTTGAATAAATCAAAATAATAGAAAAACTATTTTTGTATACCATATGTATAACGTATACCTATTGAAACTCAGTAATAATGTTGTATAGAAAGATTTTATAATGCGGCCTTCCAAACTGCATTTTTTTAAGTGGCCCTTGGGCCACATTAAGTTGGAAAGCCCTGACTTAACCGATATAGTTGAAAGGCTGCCCTAACCTAAACAAACATATACCTAGAACATATTTGTAATAAATTTATTATTACTGGGTAGTCTCGGTTCTATGTCACCCTCATAACGTGGCGACTAGTGGAAGCAAATTTAACGCCACGCCGAGGCAGTTTTCATTTTTGAAATCTTTATTCATTTCTCTGCCGCCTCTTGATAAATTTTCAAAACCTGCAAAGCTTCTTTTTCTGAGTAGTACTTTTCGGATTACAGAGGGGTCACGTATTACCTGACAGGTTATACGAACAGACAGAGCAACCTAAAATATGACATAGATTTGCCTGTTGTGAATGTCATGTAATGCCTAAAAACATTTTTACTCAAATATCCAAATTTTCCGCGATTGAGAGACTTCCCGGAGAAAGTAAAAGCAAATAAGAAACGGACGTCGAAGATGGAATCTATCTTGTGAATTAATACAATTAAGTATAAGATTATAGCTGAAATATAGTTTTTAATAATTTGCTAACTGAATCTAAATCCAATAATACTGATCTGACTGATTATGCCTCGGAGATCATGCTGTAATTTTGCGCTTGTGCCGTTAAGTTTTTTATGCAAATACGATGTTTTAACTAGAATGGTTGAGGTTCACTTTTTAGTCCGTAAGAAAAAAATAAGATCATTCAAGACTATGTAATGTGGAACACAATAATTTAAATCCGCACATCAAAAGAAACAGAAATCAGTTTCCCTTTCAGAAGACATGTTAATAGCTCTATGAAACATTATATCTTATAATCTTTTGCACATTCATAAGATCTCGACGGTTTTTGTTACAACTACGTAGTCTAGAATGACGCGCAAGGCATTAAAGTAAAAAAGAGACGCATGCATTTCGCTAATAAAATCTCGAATCTCGCAATCGAGATTTGTCGCACGAAAATCGGTATTTCATGCGACAGTGGAATTTTATTTATATGGTTCTTGTCATCATTTATCACTATGCTGTCTTACTTCTGTAAGATTATTTGATTTTGAGACGAGTGTTGGAAAAAGGTGGTCAATGAGCTTCGCTAAATTTTGTTGAATGAAACATGTCGAAAGCGAGATTCCAGCAGGCACTTTGTAAGTTCCATGACACATTGACCATTCGGCATTCGAGAATATCAGATTAATACGGATATTAAATATTAGAGAATCAAGTTCAAAAGCAGATCATAAAAAATGTCAGTATCCAAGATCGTGTAACGTTATGATCTTGGGAACGGTAACTGTTAAAATGTTGGTTTATGAAAGGAAAGTTTCGTAAATGAAATACATGCATAAAGCTTACAGGACTGCACTACTTTATTGCCAATTTGAAAGTAATTTTTCTTTTTTGGATTTTATTTATTTCGCCACTATTATAAAAGCAATTGTACTATCACATTTTGGGTTTGAT